CAAGAACATGTATGGGGATATACAATCGCCAGGGAGACTCATGCCGCCGTGGTTGATTTTCCGACGAGTGCGGTGCGTAGGTATCTAAGTACTGCGGTCGGTGACTTGTTTCTTCCATGTCAATGAATTATATGTTTTTTTTCGGTGGTTTCGCTGGATGTTTGAAAGTACATTTGAGCGTATATTGCGGTGTAATGGGCTGGTAAAGCGGCTGTCTGTGGCAGTATGCCGCGGTAAAGGAGGAACGGCAGAAAGCGTGAATGCGTGAGAGCGAAATGTCGGAAGCAAAGTAAAGAAGATGTGCAGCAGATTAGATTAGTTGGTGGTTTCTGGTGTGCGTCGCTGGCATATCCCTCAGCTTTCAAGCTCTTCGTCGCTGCTTGGAATGGACTACGAGCCTCAATCACACTACAACGGCCGCTGGCAGCCCCAGCATCCTCCCCCTCCTCCCCCTCAGCAGCAGCAACAGTACCCACAGTTTGGCTTCCAGCAGAACCCTCCAGTCCACCGTTCTTCCTCTTCTCTGTCCCTCAATCTCTCCACTCTCACTGTCGCTTCTCCAACAAATCTCTCCCCAATCGGTCCCCCCTCTGGTGCCCTCAGCCCTGTCACCCAATCAGCCCAGCAGCCTACGGAAATCACTTGCACCCTTTCCAGTTCAATCCAGCTACCGCTGGCGGCCCTCCTAGCGATCCACAGGACTCGTATGACCATGATTCCAGCTATGACTCCGTCAGCGTGAATGTCCCTGGTTCACCGCGCTCAACGACTTCCACGTTGCCCAGAAAACGCAGCTTTTCTTCGGACCCTCTTCCGAACCCGTCCGGGTCGCGCGCGCACACCCCAGGCATCACCACGCCGTCTCTGCGTATTACAACTGATAGCGACACCTTGTCGCCGCGTCCAGGCTCGCCGGCAAGCGCACATCCCACCAGCGCAGGTTATGAAGACATGGATATGGGCCTCGTGCCTTACGATCCGAACAGTTCGCCCGTAGAGGGCAGTTCGGGCAGCGACGACGCAAAGATTGCCGTCCCAACTCTTGTTCCGACTATGAATGTGCTCGGGAAACCAATCGCGACAAATAATTTCGTCACCAAGCTCTACCAGATGATCAACGACACCAAGTCCTCCCATTTCATCTCTTGGACTGAGCTAGGGACCTCTTTCGTTGTCAGCAATGTCGGTGAATTCAGCCGCAGCATCCTCGGCAGCCATTTCAAGCATAACAATGTACGTACGTTTCCCGCCACGATCCGCGCGCTCATGTCACGGAGTCCGCGCTGTTCTTATGTCCTCTTCATGACATGACATCGTGCATCGTTTCGGCCCCCTCATGCTCATGTCGCTTCGCAGTTCTCCAGCTTTGTGCGCCAACTCAACATGTACGGCTTCCACAAGATCAACCGCACACCACGCGCCCAGCGCACTACGTCTGATGCCCAGACATGGGAGTTTTCCCATCACAAGTTCCTTCGTGGCCGCCCGGATCTCCTCGACGAGATTAAGCGCAAGGCCCTCGAGCCAGATCCTGCGCTCAAGCACCGTGTCGAACTCCCGGGGGAGGTCTGTCTATCTAGTTGCCGCTCTACCTCTAGATTTCTGATGCGCTTTCAACCAGGTCGCAGCGCAACTCGGTGCCATGCGCGAGGAAAACCAACGCATGTGGGAGCAACTGAGCGCCGAGCGACGACGCGTCGAGAGACTCGTTACCGTCGTCAGTCGTCTTTGGGATGCAGTCGGTAAGGGTTTTGGTCCTGGCAGTGGTTCGTCTGTTTCTTTCGCTTTGTTTGCACGCAATCATGTCTGTTGCTCCAGTCCCGCCTTTCCCTGTCGACCTCCTTGAGCCCCCAATTTACGTGACTGGGACACGGGGGTATGACCCCAGCCCCCCCGGGTCTGAGTTCGGGGCACCACACCACACCCATCATACAGGGCACAGTCAGGCACCGCACACTCACTCGCACTCGCTTTCTCGCCAGCAGAGCTTCCAGCACATGTCGTTCTCGCGCGGCGAAACCTCGCAGTCGCCATTGCCCGCCTCTCCAGGCTCCATCACGATGGAGATGTTCGACGAGCCCGAGCAGGGACGCGCAAGCTCGAAAAGACAGCGCATGATGTCAGGCGACGACTCGCCGCATTCTGCCCACCCGTCCTCGCATCCCGGGGTGAACGGAGGGAGCCCGCACCCACATCATGCCTCATCCGTGGACTCGCTCTCCCCGCCCAAACCGCGCGCTAGTCGGGCACGCAGCGATAGTGCGCCGTTGGGGTACGCGATGCAGCCGGGTGCGGGGGGAGGCGGCGGTCTGGGCCCTTGGGGCTCTGGAGGCGCAACGGCGTCCGGTGGGCGGCCGCGTAGCGGGAGCGGACTGGCTCACGTTGGGCATGGCCCGCGCGGGCCAGGGATCCCCAATATCGGCAACATGGGGCGCAGTACCATTCCAGGTCCCCCAGGCGGCGGAGGCGGGCTAGGGCTCGCCTCGGTGCCGAGCAATGCACCGAGCCGTTGATACAGTGTAACAAAAATGGGTGTACAATCCAGTTCGCTTCCCTTTTCCCCTCTCATCTTTCCTTGCTGTATCTGTGCCCTCTCCGTGTATCTCTTGGACTTCCTCCGGCCTCACTGCCTGTGTTCTATACTGCATTTGTTTCGCCTTTTTGCGGAACGAATAACCCTCCCCCCACATAGATGTTTTCTTCTTTTTCCGTACACGAAAACCAAAAAATCCATTCCCTCCTTTAGCTCGCCATTCTTTTTCGCTTTCTTCTGTTTCTCTGTTTTGCTACTACCCCTGCTCTCGTTTCCTGTTTATTCTTCCTTTACACAGTGCCTGCTGCCAACCTGTATACCACCTGCATCTATCCGCACATCATCTACCCCGTCCATCCATCTCCACCCTCCTCCATCGCGTCTCGTCCGTCATCCACAGACACATGATGCGTGTGGAACTCGATCTGCGCAACCTACCCCTTGATTTGGTTATATCCTTTGTATCTGGTGCCCTGGGGAGCGACTTGTGGAAAGGACGGCAGGGATAAAGCACATTAGACATATCACAACCTCAGATTGTACTACTAGCTGCGTTTGTCGAATAAAAAAACATATCAATCAATGAGAGCGGTGAAGAGCGATCGAAAGCGAGATGGAATTAAATTATAGAGATAGAGTGTGCAGTGACAGCAGTGCAATTTCGCCCGTAATGACATGATGATGATGCGAGAACGGAAGTAAGTTATATGTGGATGTGTGTATGTGCGATTCGACGAGAGACGGATATGGGAGGACGGGAGACACGGAATGTAGATGAACAGACAGACGATTGGAGTGCGTGAGAGGCCGGATAGCGCGGGTAGTGTGTGTGTAGTGTACATTTGTGGAGGCCGATACAGATGCGATGAAGTGCAGTGAAAACGAGTGATAAAATGGTTATGGCGCGCGACCGTTCATGTCGTGTGGAAGGAATTCTATTGAAGGTTGTCGCGAGCGGTGTGGGGGACGCGACTATGAAATGGGTTTGCTTCAGTATTTTCGCATGTGCATAAGCAGATTTGAATAAACATACGTCTGGGGGATGTGAGTGCGCTGCGCCATTGGTATGAGAGTTGGGAACGCTGTTGCTGCTACCGCTGCGGGTACCATTGCTGCTCCCGGTTCCGTTGATATGGCGGGGTGGGGGGCGGTCCAGGGGACCGTTGTTTGCGGGCGGGTACCCGTCGATATCCATTGGGGCACCGGGTGGCATGTCTGGAGGACGCATCGACCCAAACATGGCAGGTTGGTGCGATGCAGCAAGATTCATGGCGTCCAATAGCAGGCTGTGAGGGATTACAGAGAAAACCGGCACAGGTATTGCCGATGCTTACTCGTTCTCAGCCTGCAATTTCTTGATCTTCGCAGCGGCAAGCTCGAGGTCTTGGTTATACTCCTCTTTTTTCTGTATACAGAATCCAAACGCATTCATCAATTAACACAGCGAGGCTACGTACTGCCGTGACGCGTTCATATTTTTCTCGTAGTGCCTGGAACCTATACAAAGGTAAACTTCCCATAGATAGATATCATTTGGTGGAGTTACTTTTCTTTGTATCGTGAATTGCGGTAAGGCATTTGACAATACTAGGTAAGGTCAGAGGAAAGGCTGGGTTCAAGTGACAACACACAACAAAAGGCGCGTTTGCCCCTCCTTCGGAATTTGCAGATAGTCCCTGGAGGGAGGCTCTACTGCTAGGTCGCTTCTCAGGCACCAGAGGTTCTACAGGGAGGCGGAAGCGGTGTTGGGCGGCGGACACGCCTTCTAGTTGCTTGACTTCGTCGGCAGACGGCATTCCGAATCGTGAAACGTGCCGTGGAGTGGGTTGAGGACGACAACGCGCGTGGAAGAAAGCGTGGCGATCGCAGTACGGAAACGGATCGCGAACAAATACGTGTCAATACCTGAACGCCCGCCGCCCGATAAGGCAATTTCGCTTGGTTACCGCTTGGAACACCGAATTCCAGCCTGGACGGCGCGTCCCGGGACCGTCCCCGGTCTCTCAACTAAAACTGGGATCTTCATTCGTGCTGAGCGCAGTTAGGACCTTCGTATTGCGCCTCAGTAGTAAGCATCATTCGATTCGATTGCCGCAAACCGTCTTTGCATCTAGCTTACTGGGGAATCTCGTCGATGGACTGCAACTTCGAAGCGAGAGTCAATGGAGTCACTTATTTTCGCTTCAATATGAATCAGCACAGTTTTTGCGCGCGTTCTTGCCTCGCTTCTTGCTCGCCTTCGGGGTAACTCCACATCTCCTCGTATGAACACCCTGGTTTCAAATGTTTCGGAGACCGTCTCACTTCATACTCAACATCGGGATCTAGTCAGAAATTGCTGAACACTATTTTCAAGTAAGGCGTGGCGCGTTCGGGGCCCAGGCCATCCATCTGCTTTCCCCTCTCGCTCATTCATCTCGTAGAATCCCCTCCCCCCACATCAAACTGAAAGCCATGAACAGTATACGGCGCGATAGCTCAGCTGGGAGAGCAGCAGACTGAAGAGATTCGGTATCTGAAGGTCCCGTGTTCAATCCACGGTCGTGCCACTCTTTTTGCATCCTTCTCATTGTTTCTACATCCTTCCTTGGTTGCGGGGATTATTTTTTGTGTGGCAACTCAATCCGAGGAATGTGAATCACGTTGGGTCTGAATTTTCATTATTCCCGTTTCTTCTTTGACTTGCTGTCGTCCGGACCTTTCGGGATCCTTTCATATACTTCTCCCCCATGGCTACCCAAACTTTCATAGGGATCCAGGAAGGGGAAGGTGTTCAGAACAAGGTACCAATTCATCGAGGTAAATTGATCCCGCGATCAGTGAGATCAAAAAATACCCACCAATCCGGCAATGGTTTTCGACGGGATGCCTTTCGTTATTGTCCAGGTGAGTTGGGATTCGTACACTGAATTTATGACTGAATGAATTCCGAGAGATTCCGGGCCAATTAATGCAAGGGGGGAGCGGGAAATATCAGAAAATCCAGACCCGTTGCTCAGACGTTTTGTCCAAGTCTACTTCCGTTACTCTATCGGAGTGCTAATTCGAATCGTAGCGCTTGTACCGACGTGCAAGCTAGATTTGCGACTTCAAAGTCGACGCTCGCTGGCACTCCGACCTGCTCCACACACACACATACACATTCCTCCCTCCAGAGGATTTACATGGTTTTCGTCTTCACGGGCACTACATTGTATCCATCCATAATCCCTGAAAGTACCCAGCAGTTTCCGACCACGTAAACAAGCCCTCTGACCCACAGCTCAAAGAACACATTTTCTCCCAAGAATTCCAACTTGTACGCTTCACTGAGCCACAGCGCCTGAGTACCGACCCAAACGCCAATATAGGCTACAGCCTTCCCCCGTGAGATGGATAGTCGCGGAAGAAGGAGTGGGAGGAGTAGGAGGTACCACAGAAAATACTTGGATCAGTCAATTTATGCATAGTTGCAAGTAAGACAGCAGAAGACATACTTGAGATGTGCAGACTTTGTTAAAGACGACGAACACAACAGTTTGCACGAACCACGCGAATGCTAGGTCGTCTTTGTGGCGACCAAATGCGAGGCCTGTGCCGAGCGCGAGCCCCATTTGCGGAACGAAGCTCGTCAGCGGCGACCTGAGCAGTTGGTTCCACAGCGGTAAGTTTAACTTTGCTGCATTCGGGTCGCCCAGAGGATAGGTTAGATAGATGAGGTAGAAGTAGGGCGAAAAGTTATGGCGGTGATCGAGACGGTGAAGGTGATAGAGATACGACTCGTATAAGAACGGGTAACCCCAGCTGTAATGAAATGAGCTCCATGAGCGAGATTAGAAGTGCAAGACTGACACAAGGTAACACCCCGCACTCAAGATGGAGAAAGTTGAGGCACTCAAGACAGCGAAACGTATAGTCCGGGGATTGACCAACGTCTGGATATACCCTTTCCATCCTGGACTCAGGGGAGGGCCGCCGATGACGCCGAGACAGGCAACACCGTAAATAACGGGATATATTTTCCAATGCGTGCTCAGCCCTAGCGCAATGGCAGCGGCGTCCCAATGGCCCTTGAGCGCTGCATACAGCGTAAGAAGCACGAAGAACGAGAGAACGGATTCGGAGGAGCCTCGAGTTGAGATGGTGAAGACTAGCGGGTTGAGGAGATGAAAAGCGGAGTAGAGTGTTGCGAGGCTTCGGGTCCGCGTTGCATCCAGCTCAGAATCCCGATATGCAGCGGGGAGTACGAGAGACACGAGCAAATCATAGATCAAGACGCCGTTGAAGATATCGCAGGCAGCAAAGAGATATTTGCCGAAGGAGGGATGCAACCATTCGTTTGGTGCGAGCAGCACCGCTAACAGTGGCGTGTAACGGTATGTTTCACGGGTATACGGGCTGAAGTAGAATTGGTTGCTGTACTACAGGAGCAAGGACGAAGTAATAGGCGCACTCTCCGACAGCGAGATTGAGTTCAGTTAGCTTGTCTGAGAGAGGGCCTTGAGCAAAGTTTCCGGGACCTGGCTGGAGGAGGAAACGCGCTGCATCGCTAAAGACGCGATAGTCTATGTCGGTATATTTCACGACCGAATGCGCGTCGTGCCATTCACTGTAGACAATGAGGCCGACGCGAAGAACTATGGACAAAACCAAGACATGACGGAAAGAAGCAAGAGGGCTCATGATGACCTAAACGCGATTTCGCGCTCTTGATACAATACAGAAAAATGGATTGAAAAAATGCAGACATGGACTCGACAGCGTGAAAGTAAAGTATTCGTGCTACTGTTGTAAGATATGTGATCCCGAGCTCAGTCCGAACCCAAGTAAAACAGCCCTCTATTGTCCTGGGCAGCATTGGTTCAAATGTATTGCGACACCCATCGGAAACCTACGAAAGAATTGATATCTACGACATGGTTATAAGAATGACAACCTTACCTTCTCCGTACCCTTGCCTCTGGACGACCGAGCACATGAAAAGTTCGATGGGTCGAATGTCGTTGAGAGGGACTTTGCCCTGCAGAACCATATTAGCTAAATGTAAAATAGACGGGCGATGCGAAACGTACCTTCCCGGTGGTCTGGTACAGTCCCAAGTGGTGCCTGAGCTCCTCCTCGCTGACCGCCCCCGGTGCGTCAATCTTGTTGCCAAGAATCAAGAAGGGGACCTTGGCCAGCTGCTCAATGCCCAACAGAGCGTCGAGCTCCGCCTTGGATTCGGCGAATCGCTCAAAGTCGGCGCTGTCCACAAGGAAAATGATAGCATCGACCTCAGGGAAATAATCACGCCACAGTCGGCGCGCTAACCGACACGAAATGTCAGAAAGATAAGTGAAGAAAATGACGAGGCACGCACCCTGTTGATGTCCACCGAGATCATGAGTCGTGAATTTGACATTGCCAATAGCAAGCTCCTCCGACGCTACATTCAGGATGAGAATAAGGCGCAAAAGCACAAACGCAACACGCACTCGGGTGGAGCGTTGGCTGCAACGTCGCGAGCCGGTCGTTTTTGAGCATGTGCAATAGGGTCTATTGAACCGTTCTAGTTCACCAGCCAGCTTCATGAATTGAATGATATCCCACCGTTTTTCCGGCGTTATCTAAACCAAGGAAGAGAATTTTGGCATTCTTGTGCATAAGCCCTGCAGCAAACTAAACAACGGAATGAAAACAAAGCCAGGGGACGAGGTACCAAGCTGGGCAAGGATATCCCAAAACCAGTTGATGATGAACATTGTGTAGAAAGGGCTTGAGGAGGTGGAAGAGAAATAGAAGGAGGAGGCAAAGTTAAGCGCGGATTACGTGGCGCATATGTGTCCCACGCTGTTCCCTTGCTGCACTCTTTGGTTCTGTTCATCCATGTTGAATCCTATTGCACCTTGCTGGTTTTTCCTCTAGAGCACTCTCGTCCAATCCCCAGCTTCTGGTAGGCTCTGGGCTTTCATCGCACGCTCCTGAGGGACCCGCACGTCAAGACCCGGATATTCGGTTACAAAATTCAACTTCTACCTATGGGACGACGTCTTTTGCCTGTTGAATCGCACCCTCTCACGCGGCGGGGCCGCTTGCAAGAGATTCCCTGAAACATCACCCTGCAAATTCACCCCACGCCACTGTGCGACCGTCAGCTGGTAATCCGTTAAGATACTAAGTGCAAAATGTTTGGATTTGCTTGCCGAATTTACGCAACTGCGACCTTGCACCCACTGAGATTTTTTGGAGGTCGGCGATTTGCCTGCAGGAACACGAATCTTGCAGCATTCATTCATCTGCGCGACTGATTCCAAAACGATGATTCCCTCGTTTCTTTCTCTCGCAGCTTTTGGAGCGCTGGGATTGTGCCAGACGCTCGTTATCGTATGTGGCAAGGACTCGCAACGCTTTTGTTTCGCTAACAATCCGAAGCGGGAAGACAAAAGAGCATTCGCTGTCCTAGACCCCAACGGTCCTTTTCGCAACGCCAGTCAAACATTTGAACCGAACCCCACTGCCAACTTGACTGCACCATATTTCCAAGTTTACGATGAAAGGTTCATGGACATCCTGGGCCCGAATCCGACGATTCGGGTCATAGTAGAAAATGACACCTTTTCTTTTGCTCATGATGGTCCTATTTGGATCCCGGAAACGAACCAGCTTTTCACAACTGGAGGGAGAATTGAAGGGCGTCCGGTAATTGTTATCAATATATTCAAAACCCATAGTCTGAATGATACCAGGTCTCCATGATGAACCTGAACGATCTCACTCCCACAGGATTAATCAACTTTACTATTGTGAGTGAGGTTTAACATATTCTCGTTTACCAATAACGATTGTCTTCTGTAGCTTCCGCTCGACGACGCAGTGCAAATTAATAATGGAGGGACACCCTTCCGCGGGGATCTGTTGCTTGTAACCACAGGATCGGGTCCTCTTCCCCCCAGTGTAGTCAGAGTCAATTCTCGCCCTCCGTTCAACACTACGATATTATTGAACAACTTCTATGGCCGCCAATTCAACTCCTTGAACGACGCAAAGGTCCATCCTCTCAGCCGCGCTATATTCTTTACCGATGTTTCGTATGTGCATTGGCTTTCGTTCCGCGATCTCTTTTGACGACATGATTGAGATATGGCTTTGAGAATGGATTCCGACCAGCACCTCTGTTCCCAAATCAAGTGTATCGCTTTGATCCCGACACGGGAGATGTTCGCGTGGTAGCGGACGGGTTCTCGCAGTGCAATGGGATAGCATTTTCGCCGGACGGTCGAACGGCATATATGTAAGTCCATTCCACAGCCATCGAATTGTCGATTCCATCGTTTTGTAGCGCAGACTCAGGTGAAAGTCAGGGTCAAATTGGGGGGATTCAGCCAACTCTTCCGGCAACGATGTGAGTTTCTGGGATGATATCAACGTTGAATGTAGATATAGTTGTTCTTCAGATACGCGTTTGATGTGATGTCCGACACGCAAGCCTTTGCGAACCGTCGGGTCTTCGCATTCATCGACACTGGGGGTGCGTCTGTACATTCTAACAGACTGGATCCTTTTCCTCTCACCTTGACCTTCTTCAGTTCCC